TAACTAACTAATTTTATTTTTTCAAAATTTAGCTTAAGTTTTGAAAATGTTAATAAAAACTATATGACAAATTGTTTTTAAATTTAATTTTTAAAAGAAGAAAACTAAAAACGAAATTGTTATCGAACGGAGTCCTAATAATTTAAACTTCTCATTGTCTTTGGGAGTATCTAGCATGGGGTGTGATTTGCGAAAGCTTCTCAAAAAATTAGTGGTGTCATTAAATACCCCATTACCAAAAGGAAAATTTTAGGAAAATTTTAGATGAGAAACTATGATGAGATGACATGCAATAGATGAGAAATCTTGTTGATTTTATCTTAGGCGATGAGACAGTCAGAGTTGTGGTCAAGGTATCAATTTTCCTGCTGTTGCCAGCGATGTAGTATGAAGCCCCAAACTTATGTGGACCTTGCTTTGCAAGTAAGACTTTAATGACTAACTCTCCCTTATTTTTACTCTTGTTAAGGAAAAAGTAAAAGTGATGTTCATTTTAAATTTCTTCAGGAAATTTCTGCCTTTAAAGTTAGTTTGTTTGATTCAACTTCCATTAGCAACTTCTATGACGACAATGCAGTGAGAAGAATAACTGATTATGTCGATGATGCAATTTCGGATTACCTTTCCATTGGTTCTCCTGAATCTTGTTGCGAGAAGCTGGAAAACGTGCTTACTTCAGGTTTCAGTGAAGATCAAGCAAAATATGAGGAAGGAAAACCGCTGCTTAATTTGAGGCTGCATCCTTTGCACTACTTGTCACTGAATGCATACACTGCTCTGGCCTCGGCTTATAAAGTGCGATCGAGTGATTTATTGGCTTTAGATTCCAAAATAGACGATGACGATGAAAATCTACGTAATGCATCGACCATGAGCAGAACAAGTGCAGCATACTCCTTGTTCCTTGCAGGTGCTACTCACCATCTTTTTCTTTCTGAACCATCTTTGATTGCGTCTGCTGCTAATTGTTGGGTTGTTGCTGGAGAGTCTATGCTTATTCTTTGTAGAAGCAGCTCATTTTGGGCTGCTGACATTTCAAAGTGGAGTTTCCCTATGGATAAAAGAATGTGTTCTAAATGCACATGGGTCAATAGCTTCAATTCTAGTCGAATTCACGGTCGAGATGTCGATTTTCACGGCATCTCAATCGGTACTTTTAGTTGCATTGCTAATATTTCTCAAAGATGTTGGAGCTTTCTGACTCATGGTTGCCCATATTTGAAGGCTTTCACAGACCCTTTTGATTTCAGCTGGCCTAAGACGACCCCATCGCATTCGAGCATCAATCGCTCAGGTGCGTGTCGGAAAACTAAAGATATTATTTGTCAGTGTGAAACTCAGGTGCATTCTAACGAAGAGAGGCAATGGATCTTTGAGCTTGGAATGCATTGCTTATTCTATGGGGCCTATTTAGCAAGTTTGTGTTATGGACACCATTCCCATTTGGCATCTCAGATTCAGAATATTTTGGACGAGATGAAATGATTTAATGCTAATCCAATAAGATTGTAAATTGTTATGAGATTGAAACTTTGTATAGACTCCTGCAGTTGTATGAAATCAGGATTTTAGTTTCTGTATTCGAACATGGTTTTGTAGGACCAATGAGGAAGAATTAAATGGATTTAATTTTCGACTTGTTTTTGGATCACATTTTTCGACTTGTTTTTGGATTTTGTGATCCAAAGAGTGGAAATTATGTAAAACATTTTTATCCTTGGAATGTTTTTAAGTATTGAATTTGAAACTTTAAGCAGAATTATAAAATAAAAAGGAATTTTTTTTGTTAAATATATTATTTTATGTAATAAATTTATTTTATTTGTATCAAAATTAAATTTGTAAAACATAATATATTATAAGGAAAAGAACCGTTTCTTGTTTTCGTCTAGTCAATAATAACTTGATTATTACCTATTATTTTTAGGTAATAATGGATGGAAACAAAAGGAGTCTTATTGAACAAAAAAAAAAGAAGAAGAGATTATTGTAAAAAACTTGCTGGTGGAGGAAGACCTCAGTATAAGAGTGAGATTAAGTGGAATATTAGTTTAGAAATGCGACGGTTAGGTTTTGAGAAGTTTCAAAATGGACACTTTTGATCTTGAATGATCTTGAAGTTTGTAGTAGGTAACTCTTTAGTTCTTGAAGTTTCAAAATGGACATTTGTTGGAGAAATAGTTCTAAATGGTATTTGAGTTGCTTTGACCATTGGTTGACTAATATTATGTTTATTGTGTTTTATTGATTTGGTCGAGTATATTAATTTAATAAATTTTGTTGATGATTGAACTTATCTTTTTTCTTTTTCAACATTATCTCCTCTCTTTCACTTTTTTTCCTCCCCTTCCTCTGTGAAGTTGACCATTGGCCATCCCCTACTGTCTCATTCCTCGTCGGTCTTTACCACCATTGCTACCAACATCCAACGACCTTTACCAGCCAAGAGGAAACGAAGGAGAGATGGGAGCTCTCTCTCCCTCCCTTCCTCGTCCCAAACCTAAAACGAATGGATTATAAAGGTAAAGTACACAACTAGTCTAGTTAGTAATTCAAATAACAAAATTGGCTTAATTATTAAGAATTTACAATATTGTCTAAATATTGGCCCTTTTATTAGGGGTTTTAAAAAAAATCGACAACCCGAAGAATCCAACTCAAACCGTAAGGGTTGATTTATGGCAGACCCGAAAATTAGGTTCGGTTCACGAGTGAGTAAAATTTTTTCTCAGTTCAATTGAACCGAACCAACATTTACACAATAATTTAAAAAATATATATATGTAAGTATATATATATATATATATATTATGTTTATGGTTTTCAAATCATCCTTACCTTCATGGTACCGTGAGCCCTCCTTCACCCCTCTCTCCTCCCTCCCATTTCTCTCCTTCCTTTCTCTCCTTCTGATTTTTTTTAGGGTTTCTTCGCATCCCCCACCCTCCCTCTCCTCTTCTATCTGTCTCTTTTTCTCCAGTTCCATCTTCAGCAACTTTCTTCATCTCTTCGTCACATTACATTTCTACTCCTAACTCACTGTCAACGTCATTTGTCTCATCTCTTCCATCCTAGTGTCTGCATCGATGTTCCAGTCACGTCTCCAGATCTATCTCATCTGGGTGTTTCAACTTCAAATTTGCCATACTGTAAGCATTTTCCACTTCAGAGCTTCCTCATTTAAGGTATCCACTCTACATCTGCCTCATCTTCGATGTCTCTACTTTAAATCTGCTTCACCGTTGGTGTCTTTGAAGGGATCGAACCCTCAGCGGAAGTAATTTATCGGTTGTGATTCAACTCCGATTAGAAAATGAAACAATATCGATTTTTAAAAAACAGAACATTTCTATTTAAAATGAGGTTAAGCCTCTTGGGGAAGAGAAAAAAAACTCACATTTGAAGACCGTTGGCGGATTCTCTTCTCAAGCACGAACGTTGTGACGACACGAACAATTCTTCGCAACCGAAGTTAGACACTACCACAAAGTTACCTTGCTATTCTTTTTGGATCAAGAATGGATTGTGGGATCCTTCTTGGCAAGAAAACAAAAGGGAAATTGGAATACTATTGTGAGAGAAAGAAGCAGTTTTACAGGAAAAACACCATAACCTTTAGCAACCCAAAACCCAAAACCTAGAGAAATCTCTATGTTTTGAAGCCATGATTGAAGAGAGATTCTCCACCTCACCATTTCCCAGCAATTTTGGTGGGGAGTGGTGGCTGTTAATTATGGTATTACCATAATTAACAAATATTATATATATATATATATATATATATATATATATATATATATTTAATTATATTTAATTTAATAAATAAATTAAATTAAAACCTATTTTAATTTAATTAAATCACATTTAAATAAATTAATATTTGAATCACATTAAAATATACATATCTATGATAACCTAGGGCATTTAATATGAATCTAATTCACATTAAACTTTAACCTATAATATTTTTAATATGAATCTAATTCACATTAAACTTTAAACTATAGTTGTAATATTCTTCTAAAACAAACCTATAGTTTTAATATAAATCTAATTCATAGTATTCTCTCATAATATATAGTTTTATAATGTATCATCATACATTATATTAAATTGTGTCATATACAATTAACTCAAATTCTCTTTAATAAAATTTGAACAATTCAAAATTCTTCCAAGACTTAATGTTCTTAATTACCCTTTACGAGCTAGCAAGGAGACCTAATGAACCTATAGATCAGATGCTCCAACGTTACGAGATTAATTGGTTGAACTCATTAACCACATGAATCAACATACGTTAACTACGGATTACTCCACTAAAAACCTGCAGTTGCACTCTTCTCACTCTAAAATATTTTTGTGTCCACGGATATCGACCATTAATGGCAAGTCAATCTTTCACGAGTGCTCGTAACTCAAGCTGGCTCAAATTACCGTTTTACCCCTGAGTTACATCTTACTCCTTAAATACCACTGCTTCTCTAATGAACAACCCGGTTATGGTCCAACCACTAATCGAAAGTCCCTATCCGATCAGTGAGAGGGTGGGACCCCTTGTTCAAGTCTTGGAGTCAACATTTAAGAAAACACTCATCTACTCTTCGAAAGTCAGGGAAGAGTGAGTTCCATCTCGTGAAGTTATGTTCCCAGCTCCCCACTCGGTCTCGTCCCCAAAATGGTAGGAATATTGAGTCAGCGACTCAGGCCACTCTCACCCATACAGATTAAAGGACGAGCCCTCATGGGCAGGAGTCCATAACTCACTCAGGATTGAGAATTAGTTGCTTGGTCATCCTATGAAATAGCAATCTGTTAGTCAACGACGTTACATCTAAAGATCAGCTATTTCGTGGTCCGATCTTATACAAACTCATTGCAAATGATACCCCCACTCGCATGTCTCCACACGAACGACCTGGATCGGGTCGTCTGTAACATTTACAAAATGAGTCTTATCCATAGTGTTGTCAGGACAAGGTACTCAGCCTTATCCATATACTATAGACCCTTTAGATTATTCCTGGGACATTATCTACTTGTATATCGAGGATATATCAAATATATACCTAGTATATATACTGTCCCGGTTACATTATAATAACTTTGGATGTTTAGTTTATTGGATTCAATGCAATGCTATGAATTCAACAACAAATTGATTGAATAAAACTTTATTGAATATAAATTTGTTTTTACATAAATACAAACTACGAGTCTAGGGTAACACACCCAACAGTCTTCACTCAATATATCTCATTGGCGGTGTCTCTACTCCACGTTTAGATTCAAATATGTATCCGTGACTTTTCTCTTTTATTCACAAATCTTCAAAAATTGAAATCCGAAGACCCAACCCAAAATGAACTGAAAATTGGAGGGTTGGGTTGGGTTGAGTTAAGCCTCGGGTTCATTCGGGTAACCAAAACAGTGAACCCAAAATTTTGGGTTGGGCCATATATCCTCCTTTAACCGACCCAACCCAACTCGTGTACGTACACCCCTACCTTTTATGGATGGAGCCCATAAGAATTCTTTTTTTTGAAACACCATAAGAAAATTACCAATTGGTCATTTATAATATATATTTAATAAAAAAAAATAAACATAAAATCACAAAATCAAATACCTAAAATTATGGAGCCCCAATTTCCCATTTTTTTTAACACCTCGAATCCCTAAAATCCCTCTCAATATACACTATTGCTTCTTTCCTATTTATTTAAAAATATCAAATCGCAAAAAATCCCCTCACACGATTGCGTAGAAGAAGATCCCTCGCATGCAGACTTATTTTTTCCCGATAGATTGCTTGATGTTTTCTAGTGGAAGACAACCAATGAATAGGTCGCTGTTGCTTCCTCGTGAAACACACGCACCACCCCCACCATGGCCACTGGTGCACGAAGCTGGTCATCGGATCTTTGTAGAGAATGCTGTTGTCTGAAAAGGGAGCGGCATTGTTGTTGGATCACTGAATCTGTTTGTGGGTCGCCGCTGGTTGCCGGATTTGTTTGTGGGTAGCCGGATCAGGTCGTTGCTGGTCGCTGATCTCGTCGTCAACCACGTTCTAGGTGGTCTCGTCGTTAGCCGCTGTTCCAAGTGGCTTCACCGTCGACTGTTATTGATGTTAGAAGATACCCCACTGCATATGTCAGAGGTCGCCGCATGTGGGTCGTAGTGGGAAGGTCCTCATAGAGTTGTTGCTTGTTGTCGGAGAAGACAGTTGAGCAAGGGGAGTGGCGTGTGTAGACACCGTATTTGGTCCGGCTCGCTTTCGTTTTTTAAAAATTTTTTATTACTGATTTTTTAATTATTTATTTAGTTTAAAATAACATAATTTACTTTATTATAAAATTTAATGTAAAGTTTTAACTAAATCAAATCAAGTTTTAAAATTAGATTTTATTTGAAAATAATTGGTTTTTTTAAATTGATTTTAAGATTTAAAAAAAAAACAGTTTTTTTCTCCCCTTTGATTTTTTCGTTCATACATGTATCCCCTGATCCCTTTCTTCTCCTCCCTCTTTTTCTCTCTTCTCTTGCCCCTTTTTCTTTTTTATCGTTATTTTTAGGTGT